TCTGCCTTGGCAAAAATGTTGTTGTAGGTAATCGGCTTGCAAAGGTAAAATTACCAGATATCCTAGAGGGTTCATTAATATTAATGTGTTTGATAATAATTTTAATGAGATTGAACGGGGGCTTACATTGGAAATTTTTAGTCCTATTTTAATTAACTCTAAAACATTTACTCTTCTAATCAGATCATGAGATGGTAGATGTTTAATGTGACCCAACCATCTAAGATGGCTATCTCTAATTTTGTCCGTCACTTGAGCTACACCAACCCTATCACAAATATGTTCATTTCACATTTTATCTCTAAGTGTAAGGCCACTCATCCACCTAATCATTCCCATCTCGACAACACTTAACTTAGTTTTATGCTTCTCTTTTAAAGACCAACATTCATCGCCATAGAGCATTATAGGTCTCACCACCATCTTATAAAATTTTCCTTTCAGTCTAAGCTATACTTTTCTATCACACAATAGGTTCGTAGCATTCCTCCACTTCAACCAACCAACTTGTATTCTACTAATAACATCCCTATCAATATCACCATCACTATGAACAATAGACTCGAGATATCAAAAACATTCACACCTTTTAATAATTTGGTCACCCATAATTACATTTTTGTCACCGGAGCTACTACTACAAAAATTACATTCCATGTATTCAGTTTTAGTTCTACTCAAACGAAGACCTTTAGACTCCAAGGTAATTTGAACAACAATATGTGTTGATGGTTGTTTTTTGAGCCAATTAAACTGCAGCTACTCTTGATGGGAACAATAATATGTTTCTCATTGCATGAGCACTAGTTGAAGCATAGGGTATGAGTAGTTGGGAATGATTCTTAAATTTGCTTGACAAAGATATATATTTTTGAAGGACAACATAACTTTGCTTTTATTTCTGATAAGCTGAAAGGGTTAATTCTTGCATTTGATACATATTGTCTCGTTTCACAAATAGATTTTGTGTTAGACATTTGCAAAAAAACTTCAAGTAAGCTGGATTTACTTAAACAATATTGAAGAATGCATTATGGGCAGTTACAAGAGTGATGCACCTAAAATATATAGTGTTTTTAGACCGATTCTTATACCTATTTTTGAGATATTGCACTTTAATGGAAGGTATTTTTGTATTTTTGTTGCAAATACAAGTAAAAATGGAAAAAAATGCTGGCCCGCCATGAAAGTAAGACGGCGAGGTGAAGAAGTTAGCCGAGAAAAAGAAGAAGAAGAAAGAGAAAAAATAATAATAATAATAATAAAATCGGAAGAAGGAGAAGAAGAAGAAGAAGAAGAAATAGGAGAAGAAGAAGAAGAAAGAGAGAAATTAAAAAAAAATAAAAAATCAAAAATAAAAAATAAAAAAATAAAAATAAAATCGGAAGAAGGGAAAGAAGAAGAAGAAGAAGGGGAAGAGAGAAGGAGAAGAAGAAATAGAAGATGAAGAAGAAGAAGAAGAAGAAGAAGGAGAAGTTGAAGAAGAAGAAGAAGGAGAATAAGGAGGAGGAGACTACTGACAAAGGAGACGACTGACAGCGGAGCGGAGCCGGCGACGGAGGAGAGGGATCCGGAGGAATGTCGCGCGAATCGGGAGGAGGTCTCGCGATCGATCGCGATCCAGAGGGAGAGAGGCTGCGATTCGCGAAAAACTCCAGGAGAGAGGGGCGTAACTGATTTTTGAGGGGGAGAGATCTTCTCTCTCCTCTTTCCAAATAAGTCATGCGTGAGCAACAAAGGGAGGAAAACACACACACACATATATATATTCCCTTAAGTAAAATTGATGTTCTGGACGCACTGGTGTGGTCCGTTTAGTCGTCCGGGGTCGTTCAGACCACTTTTTTGACTATCGTGTAAAAAAAAGATAATATGCATATTTTAAGCCCGTATGCGAAATCGTGGTGCAACGAGTGTCTTTTCTAAGTGGAATCGACGTTCCAAACTCACTCCTGTTGTCCATTTCATCGTTTGGGGCCATATGAACAAGCTCGCAGGTGCTCAGGTCAATTTGAGCCAAATTTGTGCATGACGCGATAATTAATTTTCGTCAATCACAGGTGGACACCCTACACCTATGATATCCAAAAATTGATGCCAACAATTTACTTAGGACGCAGTCCAAAATCTTTAAAGTGAAGGACCCAGTTATTAAGACATTAATTTCATTCTCCTCTGAAATCATAATTACTTATCAAAATATTGGAATTTTTATCAAGAAGCACCAATTTTCAAACTTTTGTTGCTCTTTGAACGTTTTGCTATCCGTGCTTTCCAAACATCAAACAGTTCAGGAAAAAAAAAAACACTAATTTTTTTGCGGTTGGAGGAAAAGGACAAACAAACATTGATATCACTACATCCCTTTTGACAAGAAAAGCAGTTCAATAGTAATCAAAAGGCGTTACATCCCTCGAAAGCTGCATCGGAGTTAATCGGAACACTGAGATCGATCGAAATCATATTGACAGAACCTCTTTTGGGGCCTCTCAAATATTCTTTCGGGATTGTTATGTTCCCACTCTTTAAGTTTTTCTCGAGCCAATTCTTGAAAGCAAAACAATTTTCTATAGTATGTCCAACCATTCTGTGGATACAATGGATGGTCTTTCTTATCCACCTCTTCTGGCTTCTTGGGCTCAGGTAATCGAAATTCAGGTTTCTTGAGCAGGCTGCGGAACATCTTTCCTAGCACTTTATCCTTAAAAGGATATTTCTTATTCAAACGTTCCCCATCTGTCTGATATGGCTTCTGCTGAAATGATTGTTGATGGTATTGCTAAGAGGATTGGTAATTGTGTTTCAGCTGCTCTGATTATATATGTATCGGTTGTCTGCCTCTGTCAATCGCTATCACTGTCCCATACTTTTTCTCAAACGTCTTTAATGGTTTTGACTTCTCAATTTTTTCCAAAAATCCGAGCTGCTTAGCTTCCTCTTGCAAACTCGCAGTTTTGCTTAGTAGCTTCTCAAAGGTTTTAATGGTGAATTCTTTGAGCAAGAAAGCTATCGGAACATGCATGCTTTTGAGCAAAATCTCAATTGCATGCTGCTCTTGCAACTGCGGCTCGTACTTCATGCTTAAGTTTCTCCAACGCAGAATGTACTCGACTAAGGTCTCATTTGGTTTTTGTCGCTCGACCACAAGATCATCGACGATGATATGGTGCCGAGCTCCAACAAATCTCTTGATGAATAAGTCTTCTAATTCTGCGAAGGTCTTAACTGAGCCATCAGGCAACTCAGCCAACTCCATCAAATACTTTGAATGTTGGTGGCATGAAGCCCTTAGGATATTGAACGACATCGAATTCCTCAGGGTATGGTCTACCCTTTAGAATTGATGCCCCTCCCTTAGACTGGGCTAAGGCCTCCTTCATCTGTCTCACGATTGGAGAGGCGAAGAAGAGGAGTCGGGAGAGGACGAGAAAGCCGTGTGGATTGATCGCGGGATCTAGGGCACGAGAGGCTCGCTTTCGACCGAAGGAGGGGAAGACCGATTCGGGTGCGTGAGTTAGGTGAAATAGGTTTAAAATCAAGAATTATTTTATTTTTATTATTTTGTTTTATTTTATTGTATTGTATTATTTAATTATATTAATTAGCGTGTGATTTATTTATGCTCGGAACCTAGCAAAATGAATATTCTTTATGGGTAAAATTGATGCTCCGGATGTGCCGGCGCAATCTGTTTCTTCATCCGGTTTCGTTTTGACAAATTCATTGATTTGCGTGTGATTTGCTCGTGTGCGGAATTATAGATATATGAGTGTCATTTTTTAGGTAAAACCAATGTTCCGAACGCACTGACGCGATCCGTTTTGTCATATGGTGTTGTCCGGACAACCCCGTCGACGATCGGGTAAAAAATACGTCAAATTCGATTTGTCTTCAAATTTCGGGTTCTTTATTGGTTATTTCAAAAATTGAATTATGTTCTGATTAATTGTGAAGTTTTTACAGGTGTAGGTGACGCGAATTGTGGTATTTGTATGTGCGAATGTACTAAAGTCTTTATGGGACGGGATCTCTCTTTGGGCCTCCACAGGATGATCCTTAACCGCTTGACCAAATAATGATGGTTCGTGAATACAACCACTCGATCAAATGATGATGATTTGAGATCACCCATGCGAGACGCCACAAGAGAATCAGGAAGCGGCTTGAATTTCTAAAAGGTGTGGGTCTCATCACTAGGCCTCTAGGATGGTCAGTAGGAAATCCTAAGGCTAGATCCTAGGCTCTATGAAGAGAAAAGAAAGTTCTCACAAAAATGAGGTCAACAGCCTTCTGTCTACCTACAGGCATTACAAGAACTACAGCGAAAGACAACTACACTTGTGTACTTCTTTGAAAATTCCTCTGTAGTATTGCCTGTAGGAGACTTTCACCGACCTAAAGACACTGCAGAAACTGCAGTCAAAGAATACCTCAGTACCAGATAAAGACTTCAAATTCTACCTCACAGTTTATTCCTCGCACAATGTGTGATGTTTTCAAATCCATGATGAACATGGTTTTCAACCATGGTTTCAACTTGAGGTGGAGTGTTAGAAGTTATATTACGAAATAATTTATTCTTATTAAAAGTTGTGAGGATTTGATTTATTTTCTAATATATCTTTATTTCATTTCTTATTTTAGATTTATTTTCTTGGATTATATTTATTTCTTTTCTTATTTTAGGCTTTTCTATTTTATGTCGTTTCTTTCATCTCTAAGTAATTATTATGAATTATTTTATTGGAGTTATAGGAGTTATGTCTTTTCTTTCATGTTATTTACTTTTATTGTCTTTCATGTTCTAGGATTCATGTAAGGTTTATATATACCCCATTTTATATCAATAAAAATATCCTGCTTAATTCTGCTTTATTCTGAATTTTAACATAAAGGTTATGCCATGTTCTGGATTTTGTTTTATCTTAATTTTGGAGCTTGATACGCTTATTTTTTGTCTTTATCTTGAATCCCCGTAAACTTTTCTTATCGTAATTCAGGAGCTTGGTGGCAATGCTTTCTGGTTTGACCGCTTTCTTGCCCAACATATTGCAATCTTTTACTACTTCATGACGGTCTTCATGTATGCACTGAGCCCAAGAATGGCTTGTGAGTATACTCGTGCAATTAAGTGCATCTTCTTCAACATTGGAATTTATTTTAAAAATTGATTACTGGATATTTGCGGCATGATGCAACTGTTCACTTTATGTGGTCTTCATTAGTGGTTAGCTCCACTTTCGCACGAAGTTGCTTGAGCTTTCATCTTGCCTTTAAAGAAGGAAGATTTACATTCATTCCGATCAGTTTTTATGTATTTACATATTTAACACCCAAAGTTTGCTTTTAAAATTTATATCTTCGAATATTTCATATCATATAAAAAATACCATCATTTTAACTTTTAAAAAGTGAAAAACACCTTTTCATACATAGGTAAGGTGGTTTCTATGTAAAAAATAAAGTTTAGGTGTTATACATGTAGATACATGAGAATTGAGTGGTATGTTTGTAAATTTTCCTTTAAAAATTTGGGTTTATGGACCACGATTTTGTAGCTGTTTACTGAAACACTATTAGTATCTCAGACCATTTTTTACTGTTAGATATAGCACATTTTATATTAAATTGTTGTCACCCTATTACTCCAATATTTCAACATCCGTACTTTCAAGGCCATAGTATTGTCATGGAGCAACGTCTTTTATATCGGGATTGCCTTGAATGTTTGACGTTCTCATTTGAGTCATTTAAGTGATGTTAGTTGAAATGGACTTCCATGTATTTTGATGTGTTAATTTTTTTTCTGACAGCAGCATTGAGTTCAACTTTGAATAAATTTTCAAGGGCTTTTTTGGGATTTAAAAAAAAAAAAAAACTAGACAACGGAAAGATATAATGAAACAAATTTGATAGGTTCTTGTTTTTATTTTTTTATTTTTTAAAACAAATTAAGGTGTTTTAGAAATTTAGAAACACACATTTTAGGTTATTTGTAAGCTTTCAAAATCGGTTGTTATCTTCTGATGAAGCAGGTTCTGAGTGTGAGCAAAATGAATGATATCATTCACATGCATCCATTTCATATTTATTTCTATATTTAGAAATCACACATTAGATTCATTGATTATACTATAAAATATAGTTGTCGCTTGTATTACCTTGAAATATGAGAATTTTTTACCAGCTAAATGGAGTCCAGGGACTCCTAAGGAGAGTCGTCAGTCTGTAGGCTTTTTAGTTTGACTGACTAATCTTACCTATTGGAGTGTACTACCAACAATTATATCTTTCAAGCACACAAGCATAGCTTATATAAATATTTCCCATTTTGCAATATGCTATAACAACAATTCTGTGAATAATAAGAACGATATTTGCTTCTTATCAATAAATGTAATTTGCATGTATTATAAATCATTCAATTGATTTTTTTATTTTGCTTCAAAAGCAATATGCTATAACAACACCTTGTCAGTAAATGTAATTTGCAACAACAACAACAAGTATTTATTCCACTAACTGGGGTCTGCTACTTGAATCCTTTTCTCCATTACCAGATCATTTTTTATATAATATGCCCGTGTCTAAATTAAATGTAATTTGCATGTATAATAAATTATACCATATTGCTGTAAGTTTCCAAAAGCATTGAATTTATGTAGAAATTAATATGACAAAGCTTACTGCACATCACATAAGTGTATCGATATGAATAATAGAATCGCCATAAAAAAATATGAGTGGGTGTCAATAAAAGTGACATTGGTAAATGTTCTTCTTATTCCTGGGCACACTTAATCTTACTCTAAAAGAGAAACTCGAAATCTTTCAATTTAAATAAATAAGAGAATAAAAAAAAGAACTAATAAACTAAGAGATGTAACTAAGATTTGAAATTATCCATTAGAAAGTTTCTTAAAATATATATCTTCCTCTAAAGTTCCTAACAAGATGTCAGCCATCTAATAATTGCTAGCAAAAAATTAAAGTGCTATCATTTTGGATTCTTATTCATATGAAGTGGTTTCATTGTTAGTTTGGGTGAGTGTGGTGCAGTGGGAAAATAATTGTATATAAAGATTACATCAGTTACTGTATTAATCATAAAATTTTACTTTATAGTATTGTGGTGTTTCTTTATAATTTTGGCCACTCCTTATATGAAGTAGCTTGTTTATAAATCTTAAAGTTTGTCTAGATGTTGTTGGAATCACCTTTTCTAATTCTATTGAGACGATGATATAGCCGACGAGGATGATGGCAAGCGGTTGTGGCTGATGGTAGCCGCGTAGCGGCTAGCTATGAAAGTTTTTTTCAAACTAAGCCGAACACACAAAAGTTGTTGTGTTTTTAAAAAAAACTTTATTTGTTTTTAGAAACGAAGTGCACTAAATGAACATTTTTTATAAAAAACATAGAAAAAAAAGTGATCCTAAACTGGCCCCTTTTAAGCAGCAAAATGAAATTTTTTTCTATTTCTTTGTCACTCTGTTAGCTGAACGGTGGGAAATCTTATTTGCTGCAATTTTTTTCGTAGCCATTTTGACATTAATTTATGTTTATCCAGTGGGACGTTATATGCTATCATTGGCTGCTCTTTTTTGTCATTTCGTTCAATAAACAATTACAGTCATGTTTTAAATTCTATTTTTAGTCTTTAGTTTTCATTTTATGATCTTTATCTGGGTGCAGATCATTTTTCTGAATGTGTTGAAAGGCATGCATACTCAACTTATGACAAATTTATAAAAATCCAAGGAGGTAATTTTTAGTGCTCCAAATACTTAACAATCATTGTATGGTTTAAATAAAGGAAAATTTACATACATACCACTCCATTGCTATTCATTTACATATCTAACACCCAAAGTTTAATATTTACACTCATAACACCTTGGTAACATAAATCTATGCATAAAAAGGTTATTTCTCTTTTTAAAATGTAATGATGGCGGTATTTTTAATTTGACGTCAAAGATTTAAGTGGTGTTCATTTAAATATGAATTTTTAGGTGTTAGATATGTAAATACATAAGAATTGTGTGATATGTATGTAAATGCCCCTGTTTTTTAAAGGTTACATTGCCATTGCTATTAACTGAAGTGTGGCAAAACTATTATGCCATTTTTTATTCATGCTATTTTTGTTCTGCTGTGGCCCGTCTTTTTAGGCTTTTGAATTTGGTTTTCCTTTATTTAGGCATGCATATTTTCTTCCTGGCACATATAACTAAATTTTGTAATTGACATTCTACACATTTTCTTACATTATTATCTTCTCCTTTTATATTATTATTTAATCAGAATTATTTCAGATGAAATTCGCTCGGATTTGGAATGGTGATTCTCTCTTAAAACTGCTTCACTTATGACCTCACATCATTCTCATCTAAACTAAGGAACTACAGAAACTTATAGAATTATATTTCACATGAAGCGTCATTAGAGCTTTTCCGTTATGTATCAGTAGTTGTCCTTCACATTTGAGCAAATGCTAAGATGCTCTATTAACTATTTACAACAGGTTATTTTAGTCTCAGAGTCGATGAAAATATCAAATTAGTCCCGGATTCTTTTAATGGAGGCTGAAACAATCGTCCTTCTAAAGAGTACGAGGACTGTTTCAGCTCATATTAAATTTGGGGCATTTACATTCACAGCGCACAATTCTACTGTATTTACATAACCACATACCTAAACTTTCATATTTACACAGTGCACAAATCTTTAATATCACATAAGAAATAGAACTATTATCAATTTTTAAAAGTGAAATACTAAGTTTCATGCATAAGTTTAAAGTACCAAAGAATTTAGGTGTGAGGCATGTAAATACATAAGAATTGTGTGGTAGGTATGTAAATTTCTCTTAAAGATACTGGAGACTAATTTTACACTTTTACATACTTCAGGATTTAAATGACTCGCTGCAAAGGATTGTTATTATTTTGACACTTCACTCTTTCATATTTTTTAGTTGTAGTTTGAATGTGATATCTTACTTCATTTTGGTGATATGTATGATAGTTATGTAATTAATTATCTTAATTTGGTCGGAGAGCATGTTTATAGCTAATTACTTATTGCTTTTGAAGCTTGGGATGGCTAATACTATATTAATATGAGAGATTGTATGAGAGAGAGAGAAAAGAAGAAGAGGACTATAAAGAAGCTCTCTTCCTCCTGCACACTAAGAAGCTGTAGACCATTACTAATAATTTATGGGAAGATTTACATACATACGACTCAATTCTTATGTATTTATATATATAACCCCTATACTTCAATTTTTACATACATGCCACCTTCCCTATGCATGAAAAGGTGTATTTCATTTTTTTTAAAAGTTAAAATAGTTCTATTTTGATATTAAAAATTTGGGTTTGGTGTTCGATATGTAAATACATAAGTATTAGGTGGTATGTAGGTCAATGCTCTAATTTATTTGGCCACCTAATGATTTTTTTTTTTCCCTTAGGTTTTTGTTGTACCAAATGCTCTCTCTAAAATGTTTTATATTCAATTAACATTATTATCTAATATCTTATCATTTTATCTCCATGAGTGCAGAGGAGTTGAAGAAATTACCTGCCCCACAGGTTGCTATAAATTATTACATGAATGAAGATCTGTATTTGTTTGGTGGGTCCTCAACATTGAGAAGATCCGTTTTGATACAAAGCTGTTTATTTTACTGGATCTAATTTCAGTTTGGTGTCATTTTCTGTATTTCCAGATGAATTCCAAACCTCCAGAGCTCCAAACACCAGGAGGCCTAAGATAGGTGTGCACTTGTCTGCTTATTATCATAAAATTTATTTCGGTTTTCTTTATAGTTTTTTGGAAATTTACATACGAACCGCACAATTATTATGTATTATATATATATATTTAACTCAAATTTTGATATTTACACTTATAATATCTTTGATGTTATAAACATATGCATGATAAGGTATATTTCACTTTTAGAAGGATAATGATGGTGATATTTTTGATTCGTTGTTGAAAACTTGTGTGGTATGCATGTAAATATGAATGTTTAGGCATTA